ACTTTCAAAATGTACCAATCTTGACTACTGTGTCTGTCCCGTACAGAATCTCTATTTGAGAGTGCGCTGCCTCCTGAAATCAGCATGGAGACATTTGCCACAGATATCTTGGGATTTTCTGCAGCCACCCAGGAACTTCCTCAAGAACATGGGCACGATCTGTAACATCTGAAGCTTTCTGAAACAAATAATTGGAAACAAACATTTCTTTGATTGCATAACAGTATGTTTGTGGTTACTAGGCTGTTGCTTCAGTGTATTTTCACATTTGCGTGTTTTTACTTTTCTGGAACGCTGATGCAGATAAAATCATACGGAAATAAACGTTGTTGTTTGACGACATACTGTCGATTGTCGGTCTTCATTTTTTCCAGATACGTGTGTGGATGTCGTAGTCATCGTTTCGATTTGATCGTCTCACTCAACAAACTGTTAAATATCGTTTTCTGTGCTCTGTTCGCTAGACAAAGGAGCGAAACGCGTAGCCGCATTGACCGTGTCTCTCATGATTCCAGGGCATTTGGCTTGAGCGCAGGCGCACAAACCCCGCCTCTCTCCTGTGCTGTGTGCATTCGCATTGTGTCTAAACAGGCAGCGAGCAAAAAGATATTTTACCAACAGCAGTAATGTCGGGCAGGTCGGTTCGAGCGGAGACGCGGAGCAGGGCGAAAGATGACATCAAGCGGGTTATGGCTGCAATTGAAAAAGTGCGGAAATGGTAAGAGAGCGTCTACAGTTAACGAACAGCACAGACAGCTTGTGGGGGAGGAGAGACAACGAGAAACAATGAAATGAAAGGAAAGAGAGCGTTTATTCCACTCCAATTTCAGTCAGATGCGCTGTTTCTTCGCGCGGCTGCTCTTTTTGTCGGCTTTTTAAAAATGAGTTAGGAAAAATGTAGATCGCATTTTTTTTTCTTCCATTAAATTTTTATGTGGGTTGAACCTAGAAGCCATTTCGTTGCAGTCACATGAAGGCTTTGCTGTTTGAGCCTGTAATGCCGGCTGAATAGTAACCGAACGGGCTGACATGAGGAACTCGAGTCATGCATCCGTACCGAACAAAAAGTGCCGCTGAACGGATGTTTGACTCGTTCATCTCATCTGAGAGCGAGTGACTCGCGCTCCTGAGCAACGGCGCGTGAGAAGAGTTTTATCCACGCGCGGGGCTTTAAACTCAGCGCGGAGCTCGAGCTTCGCCTCCACTTTCACACTCCTAAACATTTTGCTTAAACTTTAGTGCAACTTAAATCACAATGCTTTTTACAAAAAAGGTCATTAGATTAACTTTAACCTCAACAATAGTATCTTTCCCAACTTTGAAATATTAAAATGATTTTAACATTGTATCAGTTTAAATTTAATTATGGTTACTAGTATTGTTCTACACAACCATTAGGTCTCCACTAAAGACTTGACCTCGCTTTAAAATGTGTATATTTATAGAAAAAAGTATAGATGTCTTGTTGATATCAGTTGATAACAGTGCATATTCTGGAAATATTTTTTTACACAATAAATAGAGACGCCTATAAATTTAAATGTTTAAATAATCCCCTGTTAAACTCATTTGTTTTCGGTCTCCTTTGTCTTTGATATCTAACAATGACATGCATCTCCAGGGAGAAGAAATGGGTGACTGTTGGAGACACGTCACTGCGAATCTACAAGTGGGTACCAGTGACAGAGCCCAAGTCAGATGATGTAAGTCATCTTTAATCACCATAATACACTGTTATTGCAATTTTAGTTGATACCAGTTACCCAATAATTATTTTCATGTTATGGCCAATATAACAGATAAATCTTTTTCAATCTCTTCTTCCCAAAAATGAATACAATACTAAAATTGGGATTATTGGCATTAATATATTGATACAATATTGTGATGTTAAATATAATGATGTAATATTTATTTATTTTTTACTTTATTTTAAATTAGTAAAGGTAAATTCATACTGTCATTGAGGTTACTAGTGCCATTTATTTATTTATTTGCTGGTGGCCCAGATCATTAAATGTTTTAGTTGTTGCATTACACATACAAGGCAATATGTTCTACACTGTATCTTTTAGAAGTTAATTGGTTCATCAGTCTCCACATGGTTTAGCTGCAAAAACGTGATCTGCATTTGACAATGCACTTTTGTCACACAGAAGAGCAAGAAAAAGAAGAAAGGCAAAGATGACAAATATGGCTCTGAGGTCACGACCCCTGAGAACAGCTCTTCTCCGGGAATGATGGATATGCATGGTAATGCTGTAGACCTGACCGTTATCAGGCGCCAATCACACAATAATCCTCAGTCTATTTTAGGCTGTTACTTGGCAATTATTGTAAATTATAGTGGTTTATAAACCAAATTGTGAGCTTTGTGATTCCTAAACAGTTGATCTATTAGGGATTCCTGAAATATTTAAGTATGCCAGAAATTACCTGTAAATTCACATCAATTATGCATTTTGAAATTGTATTATTAGTGCTGTCAAACGATTAATCGCATCCAAAATAAAAGTTTTTGTTTACATATGTGTGTACTGTTTATATTTATTATGTATATATAAATACACACACATGCATGTATATATTTAAGAAAAATGTTATGTTTATATATTAAATATTTATATATAATTTATATGCATATAAATATATACATGCAAATACATGTAAATATTTTCAAAATATATGCTGTATGTGTGTGTCTTTATATGTACATAATAAATATACACAGTGCACATATATTATGTAAACAAAAACTTATTTTGGATGCGATTAATCGTTTGACAGCACTAATTATTATTATTAATGGCTTTCAATGGGCCATTATCCTTCTTAACCAATAGAGGGGGTTGTTGAAAGTTTTACTACACATGAATTGATGTTGATTTGTTATTCTATCGTGTAACTATCTATTAACAGTTATATGCTGCATGAAAGTTTTTTTTCAAGCATCTCTCAAATCATTTGTAACACCCTGTTAATCATGTTTCTCTTTTCTACATACAGATGATAACAGTAACCAGAGCTCCATTGCAGACTCCTCCCCACTGAAGCAAGAGACCAGCAACAACACTAGTCCTGCACCTGAGCCCATGGCAGCTTCTCAGAATGACAGCAATGACTTGAAAAGCGACCAATGTCCTTCAAAACAGCCTTCATCTGTTCAGGATCATAAGAGTGGTTAGTGACTGCAATGAGGCCTCGAGGAGCTCATTATCCTCTTTTCTCTATCTGTGCTGTTGGATTTTAGGGGGTCTCTAATAGCACTTCTTTACTTTCAGAACAAAACCACTGCTCATCAGAATCTATAACAGCCAAAAGGGACAGCAAGTCACAGGGGGATTCAGAGCACTTTTTAGACTCTTCCAAATCAGCCCAGGTACATGCTTACAGCATCACTTGCATCAAAGTAAAAAAAAGTTTATATATATACCAACTGTGTTTTCTGCTTTATAACTGATTCAGTGGTTTCTTTTGAAGGATTTGGAAGATGGTGCTCCCCCAAGCAAAAAAGGGAAAACCGATTCTTCCTCTGAAGAAAGTTAACCATCTTCTCCCAGCTGTCAGGCATTTGCGATTCCCATCTCTTATCCTGAAACACATCACAACATAGGAGGTTTTCTTCAGTTCTACACTCTTCCCTACTACCATCTATTCACTTTAATCCAGAAAACCCGTCTCTTGAGGTCATTTTTTAGTGTGGAGGGCATGTCGGGATCATCATTGTATGAGTAAGAGTAATGAATCAAGCTGTGAGATACTGTACTGATTCTAAAACAGTTCATGCTGCCCTACAATCACTACGTGCTATTTCTTTTGCTAAGATCAGTATTGTCAATTGAAACAGCACTGGAACTGCCATAGTTTTTCCACATTGGCATTGATATCAACTGCCATTTGCGATTTAAAAAAATTTGTATCACTCACACTTTCTTGTTCACTCAGGAAGGTCAACACACTGTTTTTTAAATCACGCTGAAAGTAACTGATTTCTGCTGCTGTAGTTTAGTGAGATTTCACCATAAGTAGCCAAGTATAAAAAAATGCAAATGGTACTAGTCACAAGTCATCCAACTTCTCCCGTGTAGACCATAGCTTGTAGCATAGGCCCTGCTTGGTTGAGTACATTTGTGTTACTGCGAAAATTAAATTTTTTTTTTTTTCGTCTGTCTACAGTTCTCCAAGTGCGCACATTTTGGTTCTATGTCTCGCTTTAATTTTTTATTTTATTTTTTCAAAGTCAAGTAACCCACAACTGTTCATTTTCACTAATGTTCAAGTTAAACTGTGGTGTTCAAACCCAGCTTTGAAATGCTGGTTGCCATTTCAACAGCACTACAACCTTCCAACGTACACAAGGGATACAATAATAGCATCACTTACTGTTTCTTTCAGCAGCAACTGTACTGACCGCATGTGTCGTCGTCCAAGGAAAAACGTGACATTGATTAGATTGTAACACAGGCAGGTTATGGGTAGACAGCTGTGTGAATACCTCATACTCAGTCCAGCAGTGCTGGAATGTAAACACTAAGTATGACTTTCTCGAAATTACTGTTACGTATGCTTGAAAAATAAAATGTATATATTTATACGATTACGTTTTTGCCACAGTATTTCACCAAACTATTGCCTTCTGTAGTTAAATCTTTGAAACCTTTAGCAAAATGTATTCATTGGGATCATGTTTTTTTTTTTTTCTTTCCCAGTCTATAATAGAAATGTCTTGTACAGAAGTATGGTTGTGTCTAACCTATTTATTCCACATGTAGTTTATTGGTTTTCTAAAAAACAAATAAATAAAATAAAATATTTCCTTTGAATGCTCTTGAAAGTGCATTTTGTTGCCAAATATCAAACCTGAATTTGCTCTGAATAGCAAAGATGAGCTTGAAGCTTGATTTTCTGAGATCACAGTACGCATTTTACTAGACACGAGTTTAATGACAAATTAATCATAAAACATGAAGACTAAATCATAACATGAAAATGTGAAAAGAAAGTGAAACTGATACTGTAGTGTGCAAGAGTTGTCTGAGTGTGCTAAAACCCAACATGGATTCACTGCAGATGTGATAATGTGAGATATGCTCACTAGCTCTTTACCAAGCTTTCACAGATGTTGTGAAAGAAAAACTAACATGACCCACAGCAGTACCTGGTAAGATGCTAAAAGAACAATCACTCTATTTTAAAGCCAGTTTTCTGTCTGTTTTTCACTATGCGTCTGAAAGTGAGGTTGATGCGTGGCATTTTGACCTTTTTTCTGACTGGAAGACTGTGATACCAGTATGTGTTTGTGGGATAGTTCATGAGCAGTAGACTCCCGTGAGCCAGCTCCAGCTTCACAGGCTCAATCTGACGTTTGCTAGAACCAGTCCGTGCATCCTTATGACGGAAAATGAAGTCACGGGCAGCCCCTAGAGATACAGAGGCAATAGGGCAGGCAGGATCGAGTTCCCGTTCATCATCCCGATGCTCTCCAATGTGATCATGACCATCATTATATCTGATGGTGAAAACACAAACAAAAACACACTTTCCTCACTTTGAAAGAACATTATTTCTTTCAAAAGAAACAGGACAGTGATGTCTACATGTCAACAGCAGACAGTTTAATTACCTGTTTATCAAAACAAAGTTGAACGTATGGCCTGTTGCCCTGGTAACAGCATCTCGAATGCGTTCCAAAGTGGAAGTCCATGGTTTTGCCATGAGATGGACTCCAGAGAAAGAGTACATCAGTCCTTCGTCGCCGTATGTGGCTTGCTTCCTTGGAACACTGTATGACCTTCCATACACTTGTAGTTTAGCTTTGTCACCTTTGTCACCGAGAAAATGGAATGGAAACACAAAACATTTCAATCACCATCCAAACAACAACAGGATACAGTGTTATATGAATATGGCTCACAGCAAATTATACAAGTATAATAATGAAGTTGGATTGTTTAACAAGATAATACATTATGTATGTTTCCTGTAGCTGTAAAACCAATATACATATTCTAAAGTTTGGTGTCAGTAAGTTTTTTTTATTTAATTTTTTTATACATTTATACTTTTGCTCAGCAAGGACACATTAATTGATTAATTGAACATAGACTTATAGTGTTACAAAGTATTTCTATTTCAAATAAATGCTTTATCAAAGAATCCTAAAACAAAATACATAATTTGCACAAAAATATTAGCAGCACAACTGTTTTCATCTTTGATAATAATAAATGATTCTTGATCACCAAATCGTCAAATTAGAATGATTTATGAAGGATCATGTGACACTGAAGTGTCATCCTGTCAAAACACAGGAATAAGTAACATTTTAAAATATATTAAAATAGACTACAATTCTTTTAAATTGTAATAATTCACAATATTACTGTTCTATTGTAGTTTGATCAAATAAAAGCAACCTTGGTGACCATAAGAGATTTCTTTCAAGAACATAAGAAAATCTTACTGATCCCAATCTTCCGAACAGCAGTGTACATGATACAAAGGTGCCTTCAATACCTGTAAAGTACTCCACCTCCTCTTCTAGCTGGTTAAAAAGGTGATCAGCCTCCTCTTTGTCAAACAGCAAACTGTAGTCACAGTCCAATCCCTCTGCCTCAATCTTCTTCCAGGGGATGGGCTGAGAAAACTCCTCTTCCACCTCACATTCCTCTTTGTATTTCTTGAATGGTTCCTCTGTTTTACATTCATCTGCCTCAACAGCAGATCTTTTTCTGTGCCGAGTTACAAACTTATCCATCTATTATACACCTGTAAAACAAAACAAAAAACTCACTTTTCAGACTGCCTGGTTCTATTTTCTAAACCACTTTTAAATTACAATTAACAGTTTATATTAACTAATTAACCGTAAACAGGTACGGTGCCCACATCTACATATCATGCACATTTTTACAGCGAAATATAGTTGACAGCAAACCATGATTAGTGCACTATGGTCACCAATGTTTTGGTGGGTGTTAGTAACACGTGAAAAGCGGCAGCACGGCCCGGATCTTCGTTTATGCACGTGCATTATCTTACTGAAACGTTGGGAAAACATTCAGTATGGTCTCTTACCTCAGTTGCGTTTATGGTGTGATAAATCACCCACGCTACATAGCTTACCGTTCAAATTCTGTCCCAATTTTGTTTTATTTCCAGCATTCGCGCGGGTGGCACACCTCCGGAAATGTTCGTCCACGTCATTACCGATGTCACGTGATATACAGTACTTTACTTTTCGATGGTTACATTGTACAAACGCGTCTGGTCTAACAGTGAGTAATTAGGAAAACCATGTAAACAAACATCATGCTGCCTGCCAGGGTAAATACTATGCCCAAACAGGCAAGTATTAAGATTACACGGACGTTTTAAGTTTAAGATAGCATTTTAACGTATTCAGGGTAAGAATAAGAATAGCTACGGTAAATTAAGGAGGTAAATTATTCGTTAATTATTAAACGTAACAGTTATCAAATTGTGATAACTATTCAGAACTGTGGACACCCATCACTACTAAACAGAGTTTGCAAAGAGGACCATTTCAAAAGTGCAACATTTTATTCACTGTTGTGAAGAAGACAGTCATTTTTGACAAAAATGTGAGTCAAATATAGGCTACTGGAGGACTACAAAGACTTTGTCATTCTAAATGGTCACAGATCATTCCATTATAACAGATTATTTTTAGTTCATGTGTGTTACCTGAATAAGGCTGAAATGGTTAAATTTATTTATTTCATTAATCCACCTAAGTTAGTACTGTGCAAAAAGAAAGAAAAAAGACAATGAATGAAAAACAGAGAATGAGGAATAAAGAACTTTCATCATGTCTTCTTAGCAGACTACTCCACATTTTCATAATCATTGTCCGTGCAGTTTGCATACATCTCGTCTGCTTGTGCTGCACTGTTCATATAAATTGCAACCTTATTTTCAGGCCTATTGATGTAAACTGAAGAAAACTGTCCTGAAACAATAAATACTGATATAATAATAATAATAATGAAAGTAATTCAGGTTTTATTTATTACTTATTTATTTATATTTTTAAATTATATACTCACTTTTTCCTTTGGAGACATTTTTTCTGAACTCATGATCATTCTCTGTAGCAGAAAGGGAATAACTACAATGTCTTAATGTTTTACTTATAGCATTTTTAGACATTAATTTGGTCTGTACATCAAATATTAGTATTATAACCTACTATTTGAGTAAAACAAGAAATACTCATTAAACCTACCATAGATTGTTTGATCTTTGTTGGCATCTCGAACTGTCATCACAATGAAAGAAAGAAAATGTTTGAAACAGGATCTTTTCAAACTTGAAACAGACTTGATTCATGAGACCGTGTGTTCTTGAAAATGGTCACATGCATCACAGCTGTGCTGCGATTGCTGTGAATATAAATAAAGTGCTTACCCTGCTGGCTGTTTGCATAATATGGTTGATCTAATGTTTCTGAGAAAAATAAAAGAGATTAAGTTACTTTACTTAGTATGCAAATCTTGCATATTTATAATTTATTCATAATTGATTTGATATACTTACTATTTCGTTTATGAACAGTGCAACACACCGTGACCACAAGAAGAAAAATAATAATAGTTGCTCCTCCTGCTACGAAGGGCCAGAAAGACATCACTGTGTCCTATGAGCTTTCTGATTCACCTTGTACAAATTCTTCTGCCTTTCAGCCAAAACAATTATAACGTGTAAAAAGAAAAACAGACAGTATGTCTAATTTTAACTGGAGATATGGTGTAATTTTATAATTAAATAGTATAAGTATTTAAAAAGTTTAAGTGTCAGGACACAATAAAATATACAAAACTACAGTATATGTCTTTGAAAATGTGGACATTTTTATGTTTTTACTCACGTGTGAATTCCAGTGTCCTGATGCTATAGTTAAAGTCTTCAACAGTTCACAGTGGGACAGACCCATATGCCACTGCTACACATTATAGAGGAGGATAGAGCAGTTTATAGTCATATAATTTGGAGAAGGTCTTCTTCTGTTATCCTAAACCTTTACTTCACCTTTTAGACTGTTCTCTAAAATTAGACACAGCTGCACTGGTGTGACATCTCTGCTGTGCCGTCTGGTCTGAAAAGAGCCATTTCAAAGAATCAAGAGAGCATCTCTTTGCTCAAACCTGAGAAACCACAACAGTAAACAAATGATATTCACAAGTTTCCGTCTGCACTTCACAGGTCGATCAAATGTTGCACCGTGGTTATGTTTGCTGAGCTTCCTGCAGTTTTACAATTTTTATAAGCAAACTTTAAATAATGATATGCTGCTCAGACTGGGAATATAATGTCTTTTTATAGAATTTCATATTTAATTAGAAAATCCTCAAAATTATTGTTAATGGAAACCACAACACACTGTTACATTATGCTTGCTTGCTACATGAAAGTTAGAGTTAACTCAAAATGTCTGATTAAAACCATATGCATAACCAGAAATAAACCTTACCATTTAGAGATGAAACATGCAGAGTAAAAATACCCACAGTTCAACACAGAAAGAAAGAATGGATCATTTGTTTTTAGACAAACATCAGGAGCGTATGCTGTAAGCCTTGAAACAATTCACTCTGCTTTGTGTAGGGGAAAGAGGCTGTTGGACAAGTGTCTTCTGCCGTCATTTCCTGCTAGCTCTACCTACTTGGCCAGTGTCCAGAAGACAGTTACTGTGCTCAGGTGGGTGTTTGTATGAACTTTACGATCTTTGCTATCACAAAAAAACCCACTAATTTATATTAAGGTGGCTTTTTGAATTAAACTTCAAGATGTTCAGTTTTTTACTAGACTGAAAGAAATAAGATATTGTTAATATCATTTACTTCTTACTCGGCTATTTTGCTTTAATCATTTACTATCTTTAGGAATAAATCTTTTTAAATCAAGTCAAGTCACCTTTATGCACCCTCTATTTATATAGCGCTTTATACAATACAGATTGTGTCAAAACAGCTTTACAGTGTTAAACAGGAAAATAATGTTTCAATAATGCAAACAAAACAAAAAAACAGTTCTGCTGTAAAGCAGCTCTAAAAAGAGGACAATAGCAAACAGTCAAGTTTTCAGTTAAAGTCAGTTCATCGTTGTTCAGTGATGTCAGCGTCCAGCTTGGTTCCGTTCTCATCCAATAGTTTATGTGCCATTAAAACAATTGCCAATGAGAAGAAGAAAAAAACTGAGGTGGAATTCACTCAGCAAATCTGCTCTTTATTAACAATAAATGATTAGATTTTTAATATGACAAGTTATTAATGACAATGTTAAATCATGTAAGTTAATATAAGTTAAAGGACCACAGTTCTGATGGAGATGATTAAAGAGCTACGGAGGTACATACAGGTGCATCTCAATAAATTAGAATGTCGTGGAAAACTTCATTTATTTCAGTAATTCAACTCAAATTGTGAAACTCGTGTATTAAATAAATTCAATGCACACAGACTGAAGTAGTTTAAGTCTTTGGTTCTTTTAATTGTGATGATTTTGGCTCACATTTAACAAAAACCCACCAACTCACTATCTCAACAAATTAGAATACTCCATAAGACCAATAAAAAAAATGTGTACAGGTGCATCTCAATAAATTAGAATGTCGTGGAAAAGTTCATTTATTTTAGTAATTCAACTCAAATTGTGAAACTCGTTTATTAAATAAATTCAATGCACACAGACTGAAGTAGTTTAAGTCTTTGGTTCTTTTAATTGTGATGATTTTGGCTCACATTTAACAAAACCCCACCAATTCACTATCTCAACAAATTTGAATACTTCATAAGACCAATAAAAAAACATTTTTAGTGAATTGTTGGCCTTCTGGAAAGTGTGTTCATTTACTGTACATGTACTCAATACTTGGTAGGGGCTCCTTTTGCTTTAATTACTGCCTCAATTCGGCGTGGCATGGAGGTGATCAGTTTGTGGCACTGCTGAGGTGGTATGGAAGCCCAGGTTTCTTTGACAGTGGCCTTCAGCTCATCTGCATTTTTTGGTCTCTTGTTTCTCATTTTCCTCTTGACAATACCCCATAGATTCTCTCTGGGGTTCAGGTCTGGTGAGTTTGCTGGCCAGTCAAGCACAGCAACACCATGGTCATTTAACCAACTTTTGGTGCTTTTGGCAGTGTGGGCAGGTGCCAAATCCTGCTGGAAAATGAAATCAGCATCTTCAAAAAGCTGGTCAGCAGAAGGAAGCATGAAGTGCTCCAAAATTTCTTGGTAAACGGGTGCAGTGACGTTGGTTTTCAAAAAACACAATGGACCAACACCAGCAGATGACATTGCACCCCAAATCATCACAGACTGTGGAAACTTAACACTGGACTTCAAGCAACTTGGGCTATGAGTTTCTCCACCCTTCCTCCAGACTCTAGGACCTTGGTTTCCAAATGAAATACAAAACTTGCTCTCATCTGAAAAGAGGACTTTGGACCACTGGGCAACAGTCCAGTTCTTCTCCTTAGCCCAGGTAAGACGCCTCTGACGTTGTCTGTGGTTCAGGAGTGGCTTAACAAGAGGAATACGACAACTGTAGCCAAATTTCTTGACACATCTGTGTGTGGTGGCTCTTGATGCCTTGACCCCAGACTCAGTCCATTCCTTGTGAAGTTTTCTTAAATCTCAAATTCTTGAATCGATTTTGCTTGGCAATCCTCATAAGGCTGCGGTTCTCTCGGTTGGTTGTGTATCTTTTTCTTCCACACTTTTTCCTTTCACTCAACTTTCTGTTAACATGCTTGGATACAGCACTCTGTGAACAGCCAGCTTCTTTGGCAATGAATGTTTGTGGCTTACTCTCCTTGTGAAGGGTGTCAATGATTGTCTTCTGGACAACTGTCAGATCAGCAGTCTTCCCCATGATTGTGTAGCCTAGTGAACCAAACTGAGAGACCATTTTGAAGACTCGGGAACCCTTTGCAGGTATTTTGAGTTGATTAGCTGATTGGCATGTCACCATATTCTAATTTGTTGAGATAGTGAATTGGTGGGTTTTTGTTAAATGTGAGCCAAAATCATCACAATTAAAAGAACCAAAGACTTAAACTACTTCAGTCTGTGTGCATTGAATTTATTTAATACACGAGTTTCACAATTTGAGTTGAATTACTGAAATAAATGAACTTTTCCACGACATTCTACTTTATTGAGATGCACCCGTATTTGTGTCTGTCTTTAGCTGTGATTGGTGGAATTTCAAAAAAGGTCTCACTGCCCTCTAGTGGCATCACAGATGAAGATACTAACGTGAGCCCAAATGGAGACATTTCTTATTTCTCCAAGAGCAGTAACATCATCCCTCCACCAGAAATAATCTTCTGAACTGTGCATGTTTT